CATCGACTGGTTGCCTCCTGCACAACCCTGACCAGGGCCAGGGACCAACCGCAACAGAGGTACGTGCCCTTGACAGGAATCGAACGCACAACTCAGTGGTTCGTGGGCCGACGCTCTACTGCTGAGCCAAACCAGCCAGGGCCCTATATCTTAAGTACATTGAAACATGGTCTCCAAGGGGATTCTCCAATTTGCTACACATTTGAATCATCTGGGCTTTTCCTAAACTACTGATCCCTGTGCCCTGCCACCCAAGACTCTGATTTCATGAGTCCAGGCCTTGTGTGGGGTACGGGGTCCCTAAAGCTCCTCCCTACAGTTGGAGACCCACTGTTCTAGTTGATTCCACTTCTCACCACTTGGGGACCAATCAGAACGAATCCACCTCCTCTTTCCAAAGGCCAGTCCTCCTTAAACACCAAGGCCACCCTCCCGTTCCCTCTTTCTCTGACTACGCACCCCTAGGGGTCCCACTGTTGAAAGCGGGAGCTCAGCCAATGGTGCAGCCCCTGAGGACTCCTGCATCGCGGTGCCCGGGGCCTCGCAATGGAGCAGTCTGCGGGAAGTGGGGCAGCACAGGTTAGCCTTGAACATGGTGGGAAGCTGGCCCTGGCCATGGTCATTCCCACTGTCCCTACCATTTTCCACATAGTGTTCTCCCCCAGGTCACCGCTCAGCGGAGGAGACATCTCAAGGAGAACTCTCTTCTCTACCCACTCACTGGGCGGCATCTGCTGGGCAGCCAAGTCAGCTGGTAACTGTGGTGAACAGGGAGAGACGGGCTCCGGAGGCTGCACCGCCCCTAACGTGCCAGGAGGCAGAGAAGCAGCACCAGCTGAGCCGGACCCTCACCACCCTGCCAGGCAGCGGCTTGCGCACGCAGAGGTAGCGTACATTTCACGCTGCCTGCTGCTGTCTCTTCCTCGCATCCTTCTTTCCATCCCTCAACAAAATGTATTTGGAGCATCTCGCAGGCGCCAAGGACTGGGAATACATCAGGGAACAAGCTGGATAACAACCCTTTCCTCCTGGAAGTGTGAGAGGAGCCGATCAGTGAGCGCACCTGCCTCAGTTGGCCCCGCGTGGGGCACCCTGGAGAGTGAGGGTTGGAAGAAGAAAGGGCAACAGTCAAAATGGTAACGTGTCGCCACTGTGGAAAACAGTGTGGGGGCTCCTCACAAAACGAAACATGGGGCTACCTGCCGTTTGACCCAGAAATTCCACTTCTGGGTGTTTATCCGAAGAAATCCAAAACACGGATTCAAAAAAATATATGCACCCCTGTGTTCATTTCAGCATTACTTCCAATAGCCAAGATATTGAAGCAACCTACATGTCCACCAATATATGAATGAATAAAGGAATGATACACACACACACACACACACACACAGAGAAATATTAAGCAGCCACTGAAAAGAACTCTTGCCATTTGGAACAAGATGGCTGGACCTAGAGGATATTATGCTGAGTGAAGTAAGGCAGACAGAGAAAGGCAAATACCACAGGATCTCACATGTGGAATCTAAACAGCAAAACAAACAAGCAAACAAAACAGAAACAAACTCACAGACAGAGAGAACAAAATGACGGGTGACAGGTGGGAAGGAAAGGGATTAAGAAGTACACACCGCCCGTTATAAATACAGTCGCGGGGTGTGAAGTACAGCACAGGGAATACAGTCCACAGCATTGTAGTAACTGCATGGTGTCCCATGGGTCCGAGACTTACCGGGGTGATCATAAGGTGTATAATTGTCTAATCACTATGTTGTACACCTGAAACTAATATAATGTTGTATGTCAACTATAACCGAAACATAAATTTTAGAAAAGGTTATTTGCTGGTGCCCTTGACTGTTCTCACTGCCAAACTTGATCACAAAGTAAATACGTGAACGGCAGGGAAGGTACACAGGCAAGTCTGCAGAAGATAGTACATGCTGACTTCCTGAAGTACTCCTAAAAGGAAAGGTGCTAAATGGGAAAAAATAAAGATGTACATCACAGCAGTCGAGTGCATGTCAACCAGCCGGTGGGTATCGGAGCCTCCAATCCTAACAAGTGGGGTCCGCAGGGGGGCAAACTGCTTGTGCAACACCAGGGGCCCCAGCTCTATAGGGGTCCCGGACCTGTCTGTTCACACGCACAATATTCAACACCCAGACACACTATTGGAGGCCCTGTTGGTGAAGACAGGGTGACTGAACCTAAAAGCACTTGGAATCATACGACGTTTGTGGGGCTCCCCCAGTGGAACATTGACACGGTGCATACATCTGTGTTAAAGATTCTGCCCGGGCGGTCCAGAAGTCGACGTTTAAAACCACACAGAAGACAGGACGCTGACGCAGAAAGGCCCCAGAAGTCATGAAATAATTGCAGTTTCGCTGAGGGAACCTGTCGTACGCACAGGGGCCGTAGTAAAGGCACAGAGAGATGAAGACATTGCAGATGGTGAGAAACCCAGACTGGAAGTCTGCCCGATGTCCCTTTAACCCTGAGGGACCCGGAGTCACACTTCATCCTCCAGCAAGCTTGCCGCCGGGAGAGTGAAGGCAGCGCCGGTCAACAGGCTAAACCTGCCTAAATCCAGGGCCCTCGCCTTGGCGGCTCCTGCCGGGGTCAGCACCGCAGTCCGGAACCCTCACCGCAAAGTGACACTCTTCATTCACTGCCATTGATTTTCCAATTTTGGTTAAATTGCGTTGGTCTTTTCGGGGAGTTGTTTATGGATGTGGCTAGATCTGCTTAATTCAACTCCCATAATTACATCCTCATTGCAACTTAACCAAAACCCAAATGAAAAGATAATGAGCTTGAAACACATCTGTCGCCAAAACATGGAATAAGCCACTACGTTATCGCTTTGATTTATGCAGAGAGACAGAACGTGTTCTACCAGCAGAAGAGGACGGAGGTGGAAACATCACCGTGTTTCATCTTTCCCGTGTAAGAATGTGCAAGCCCCTTTGGGAGAGCTAGGGGTCTGGCAAAACTGGTGTGTGTGTGTGTGTGTGTGCGTGTGTGTGTGCGTGTGCTTGCATGCAGGCTGGGTGGATGATAAAGAGAGAGTTAGAAAGTCATTACTTGCCTCCAAAGAAGATAATATGGCAGTCAGGCAGGCATATAATAGGAAGGGTTGAAAAGAGACTAGAGGAGAAAATGAAGGAAATAGACTCAATACGTTCTTTTTTTTCTCGCTGCTTTCCTATCTTTAACTAGAAACAATCACATTTTTCCAGTGACAACCACAGTGTCAATGCAGATTTTATTCTCATGCTCCTGTGCAATGATTTCCCATTTCTACTCCTGTTCCCCAGCCCTCACGTGTAAAAATCTTAGCGTCATTTACAATTCGTTCTTGCCTATATGCCCAAACCCATACGGTTAGAATTTTGGGGGGTGCTCAAACTACGCTAGGCCATGGGATGCATACACACATAGGATGACAGTCTCTGTTCTCAAGCAATTTCAAGTCTAGGCAGCGTTGCCCACAGGGCTTTCTATGATGATGGTGACATTCTGTGTCAGTTCTGGCCAACACCGCGGCCACCAGCCACAGGGGGCTACTGAGTACTTGAAATGTAGCGAGTTTGACTGAGCACTTTTTTACATGTAGCTTCAATGACTGAGAATTACAATTTAAATAAGTACATGTGCCTAGTGGTTACTGAGCTAGACAACACAGGCCCACATAGAGAACAAGGGGACGTTCTTTAAGAAGACAGCTGGCAATGTCAGGAAGCCCATGGACAATACCACACGAGGCTACAGGTAAGTGCAGGCAGAGACCGGAGAAGGAGCCAGCCTGGGGAAGACTCAGTGGAGGAGGACAGCGGCCCCGAGGAGGTGTGTCTAACCCAGTGTCTGGGGAGAAGCTATAGCGTGGGAAGCAGAAAGGAGAGGAGAAGGCATTTCTAACCCAAAAGTTGTTTAATCAGAAAGGCCTAGGGCAATATGCGCAGAGCCCGGAAGGAAAACCCAGTTCCTGCAGGACAGATGGTACCTGTAGCGGGTCAAGGTTGCTGCTCACGCTCCTGGGGCTTTGCCAGGTCGGGAGCAAGAAAGTCCAGGGTGGGAGCAGATTTGGGGTGGACAGAGGGCGTGATGGGTAAGGGGATGAGAGAGAATCCCCAAGTTGGCTGGGTATGCTGTGTTTGAAGGTGGTCTGCGTACACACATAGGATGACAGTCTCTGGATGACAGTCGGCCACAGGGAAGACCTGGAGCTCGGGAGAAAGGGCAGGGCCAGGGGCACATGGGGGGGTTTCAGAAGCACATGTCCCCCCTGCATAGGTCAGCCACCACCAGCTCCACTTAACTCTTACATTCGATGTTACCAGTTATCCATCTGTGGAGATTTGGCTTCAGATTGCCGGCTAGAAGTTGGAATTAAAAAAAAAAGATAGAAACTCTAACTACTTTGACACGGAAACAAATGTGGAAACTTGAAAACTAGCTGGGAAAAACCGAGAGCAAGAACACGGAATGAAGAGGTGCACGTGTCACCTGGCCGTGCCGTCTGGCCTAGAGGACGGCTGAGTTCTTATAGAGACAACCTGACGAGAGAGACGCAGAGGGGTCCTGGGAACAGTGGTGTACGCAGCAGAGGGTGTGAGGAGTCAGGGTCGAAGCCACGGTGCTCTGACAGGGAGCGTCACCGATGCTGGACAGAGCCTCCTCCCTCTCCGTCTGTCCTCGGTCTTTTCTTCCTGCATCCCGGCCTCTCCTTCACAGAGGACAGGTAAGGAGAGGAGCCCATGATCACCAGGGCCTCAGGAGTAAGTGGCCACTGAGGAAACTGAGGCATCAGCTTAAATGAACTCCAACAACTCCACATGACTGTTTAGAGTGTGTGTTTTTAGTTCCCACGCTACCCCATTTCCCTTTATAGATTCCCCCCCCCCGTGCAGCAACCTGTGGACAGAAAGACCACTGACTGTAGCCCACACCTGCCCTGCACTGGGTCCTCACGAAGCTCGTGCCTTCCAGCTCACCTCCCGGTCCAGCAGGGCGGGGGACACCACGGTGACAATGTCTCCTTTCTCAGGATCGATGTAGAACATGTTGGGTGACGGCTTGTCAGGCGTCTGCTGGCGGATATTATACCGAAGGAGGGCATTATCTGTGGCCGGGTCGTCCGCGTCGAAGGCTGTCATCCGCATCACTGTGGTCCCTGAGTGGGCAGGACAGAAGGACAGACGGTGGTCACTTGGAGACAGAGACAGGCAGAGCCCCCGTCCCCCACCCGGGCAGTGGCGATGAAGCGATATGCCAACGGCTTTCCAGAGTGAAAACAGAAAGCCTTCCTCCAGCTCAGTTCTGTTTCAGCTTTTCCTTCCCACCCCCTCCCCGCTCCATCACGTTAAAAGTCCCGCCCGAAGTACAGAAATCTTTGCTGCTCAGCAGACTGACAGCTTAATTTTCCCTTCGGCTGATATGCTGCTCATTTTCAGGGGCTTTCATTCCGTTGAGGATGTGTCTGTGTGACAATGGCCTGCCTTTCAAAAGCTGCTGTTGAATACCTACTCGGTGTGGGGTCCTGGGCTGAGGGTTGGGGAAACAGGTGCACAAAGGCCCATTCCATGGGGTCCAGCGGGTCAGAGGTTAGCAGGAGAGAGAGCATACACAAATGCAAAAATAATAAAGCATGTCAAGTGCACTGAGAGAGGGCACTGATGAGCACAGAACCCCCTCATCTAGCCTGGAGTCCAGGAAAGGTGCCCGGGGCAGACGCCCAAGGGGTGAGCTGGTGGGAGCAAGGTGAAGGAGAGGGACCTCACTGGGGAAGGACACTGCGTTTGAAGGCGTGTGGGCACATGTTAATGGCACGCCCTCTGTGTGGCGGCCACACGGTCTTAGGCACTTTAACTATAAAGACAACATAAAGACGGGGGTGACATGAGGACCATTTGATATGTCAGTGGCTGATGAGGGTGTCAGACGCAGGGTCTTGCTCACACACAAGGGAGTGGGTATTGGCACTTTCAGGGACAACTGAGTAGCACGTAGTAAAAAAAAAAAAAAATGCATTCACCCTCTTGGCATCTACCCTTGAGAAACACCTGCATGAGGTGTTTCTGCAGGGTGTTCATGGCAGGATCATCCATCCCAGAGAATCATCAGGAAACAACCTGCCTGTCTAACAACAGAGGACTCGCTAATGGGATGGCATCCCCCACATTAAGGGATATTTTGCAGCGGTTTGGAGAAGGTTGTAGATCTAATGTGTTCTAGCATGAAGGACTCTCGGAAAACGATCAGGTTGAAGAAAGTTATCCACGGCGTGGCGTCATTTTTATAAACCTGACTACGCACAGAAAATGCCACCATCCTTTATGCGTCTGCTTTGCGGTACCGTTTATGTGCATCAGTGCATAGAAGAAGGTCTATATTACAGTGAGTTTCACATGGGGTAGGGTGGTTAGATCTGAGAAAGGGGAGAGGGTGCTGGCATTAAGTATGGTGATGAGGGGAGATTTTTGGCTCAGTCTGCAATGTTTTGGTCATTTTGACAAGGAGAATCTATTGCGTTTGCAGTTAAAATTGCATTTAAGAGGATCATAATTATAAGTGCTTGTAGAAACATGGTCTAGAGTAGAATCACATTTTCCTGATGGTCCTGACAATTGGGAGCCGTCATAGTGAGGTCAGGGTAACCTGCCCAACCACAATCTCAAGGCAGTTCAGTCTTTTCGGAAGACAGAGGCCCACCTTCCGATTCTGAGTGCTTCTGGACCCACGAAGTGAGACCTAACTGGTCAGAGGCAAACGCGGCGGACCTGTTGTTCCTAGCAGAAGCATTCCTGTCTGAAAAACACTGATGCTTCCAGGAAGCACAGAATTCACGGAGCTTGACCACCATCGCGGAGTTCCTCTCACTACCCTAACAAACAGTGCTTCTCAAACCATCTGAGCCTGTGTATCTTTTCCCATGAGCAGAATCAGAGTATCAGCCATTCGGTCTGATGGATCAGGCAAACGAGGGAGACCCTGACCACCCTCAGGCTGGATCCATTTGTGACACATTCTCAGTGAATGTCCTCATGAGGGCAGCTGCATCGAGATGCATTGGCCAGTGTACCTCGTTTCTTTGCCCTTCTTTGTTTTTTTTGGTATGAAATTGTCACAGGGCAAACTTCAGGGTCCCGTGCAAAGGATAGGAAGTTGGTGGCATGTGCTGCCCCCTCACCCCGCCCCTGGCCTTTGGAAGATATCAGCTAACCAGCAAGCACTCTGTTTTCGATGAAGCCACGCTGTGGGATCAGGGTTCCCCTCTCAACACAGTGGCCCACCAGCCACTCCCAGTCTATCAGCTTAGCCTGAAATCGACACTTACTTGCCTTCCTGATCTAGGAAACAAGTCTACTAGGGGAAGTCAGAAATCAGAGGCAGTTTTCAGGCCCACAGTCTCACCCAGGGACATGCTAAGTGAGGCCTTTGCGGCCAAAGGCACAGAAGGAGGCCTCAAACCCATCAAGTCCACAGCAAACAGCCTCCGGTTAAGTATGCATGACCCAGTGCCTTGCACTTTGTTAGTGTCTGATGAATACTTGGTTGATGAAATCCACGTCCTATTTAATCTGCCTTCAGTTGAAGTCAGACGAATAAGCAAAAGAGTATTAAAATAGCCCTGGCTGGTCGCTCAGTGGTTATAGTGCCAGCCCGTGGACCAGAGAGTCCCGGGTTCGGTGCCCGCTAAGAGCACCTACCTCAGTTGCAGTTTGTCCCTGCCCTGGTTGGGATCGTGTGGTGGCAGCCAGCCGACATGTCTTTCTCATTTCTATGTTTGTCTCTCTCTTCCTCCCTTTCTCCCTCCTTCTCTATCTGAAGATAAATGCAAAAAATGTCCTTGGGTGAGGATAAAAAAAAGAAAAGAGTATACAAATAAAGTCATCATGGTTTTCAACTGTCATGGTTTGCCTTAAACTAATTAGAGGAAGAAAAAAAAAACCTCGTTGATGAATTTTCAGTTTTCACCAGGCAATTCATTGATAGTGTCTTTTTTGGCTGTTAGTTTTACAGATTTGATAACATGATATAATAAAAGATAATAAAAGGAATGTTCACAAGGTTACACAATTTTTTTTTTTTTGGTAAATCTTCACTCAGGGATGTTTTTCCCATTAATTTTCAGATAAAATGGAAGGGAGGGAGGGAGAGAAAGAAACATTGATGTGAGAGAGGGAAACATTGATGTGAGAGAGGCACATTGATTGGTTGCCTCCCACATGACCCCAACTGGGATCTGCGATTGAACCTATAACCCAAGTACGTGCCCTTGACAGGGAGTCAAACTTGGACCCTTTGGTCCATGAGCCGACCGACCCTCTAACTGCTGAGCCAAACTGTCCAGGGCGAAATATTTTACATTTTAATGAATCGTTAGTGAACTTGGTCTTCAGCCCTGCCTATGCCTTCACCCAGACGAGGAGGATACTGCTTGGATTTCCTTCCGAGGCCACGCCTAGGAGACTGAATGGTGTCTGTCATGCAAATAGGTTTGCAGCATCAAGAACAACTTTGAGGTTACACACCAGCTTAGGTCTTTACTAGCTCTGTGGATTTGGACAAGTGACTCAACCCTCCTTGAGCCTCGATTTCCCATGTACAGCATGAGGGTATCAGCAACACTTCCTTCTGAGCTATTGCAAAGATTTGATGGGATAACATAGTAAAGGACTCGGTAAGGTGCCTGGTGCGTTAGTGTTCTGAGGGGGGTGACTTCTATGATCACATCTGCCCTGCAGGCAATGGCCGTAGACAAAGGTGCTCACAGCCCAATTGTCCACAGAACCTGGAACCCGGTGCAGTAGGAAGAGTCCTGGTTCCGATCACCACCTCCCAGTCTGTGCCTTTTACCTTGCCCATGGTCTCAGTTCCTAGATGTGGCTTTCTACTGTGGAGATCACAACTCTACACACACACACACACACACACACACACACACACACACACGGCAGTCTATGCTACTTCTCCATGTGGTACTATAGTCTCCCTGTAGGAATAAGGTTCTTTTCTGAGACCCAGTCTTTTTGGTGGGTCCAATATCCTGCTCTTGCCAGCCCCTCCCCTGGGGGCTGGGGCATGATTTCCGTATGTCCAGGCTCTACAATGACTGGATAAATCTTCTGATCCAACCTTTCCTAAATCATCTGCAAGGACTCCGGGTCCACGGGCTCAGCAGAGAAACAGATTTGGGAAACGTGTTGTAGCCCCGGTTAGGCAGGTGTTCCCTCCGAGAGGACTTCCTGGGGTTCCCAATGAGCAAATGCATATTGAAAATCTCCGAGAGCGCGTGGAATCTGCTGCACTTTCCAAACTTCTCTGCTGATGCACCTCTTCCTTTAAAGAACACCTTTATGTGATGGGCCACGGAGTCCTAACTTTGAGCTCTTGGAGGATACAGACTGTTTCGTTCACTGTTGTCGTACGCTCAGTATCTGGCACGTAGTAGGTCCTCTATCGATGTCGTCTGAGTATAACTGCATTCCTGTAATTTCACTGTAGCTTTGCCTAATCCCACAGTCACCAGAAGCCATGCACAGCTTGGCTACAGAAAAGAGTGGACAGGATTGTCTGGGCATCTTTCACTCGCAGGCAGCTTCACTGCCTCCTCTGCGCTCTTTCCCCCCCGTGGAAAGTCATACACCAGTCCCAAGCCAGGGCGATGGTCAGCAGGTAAGCATCAGGACAGCTGCCCCATTGCCCGTGGGTGGCATCTCTGTCTGACCCCTTACCTAAGCCCACACCTGGACTCTAAGAAGAAGGGCTCATTCATTTCCAGCAGCCCAGCAGCCTCAAATCAACGCTCATCCTGTGCCTGTGCGTACCAAGTTCTTTTTCCAGCTATAGACCTACCTCGTGGCCATGACCGTCAGAGCACAGACATGAGAACTGCTGCGGATGTGACGTCAGTGGCCCTGGACACGATAGCAGTCCGTTCATGTCAGCACCAGTCACACCAAGCTGGGGTTGCTTTCGGACTGAGCAGGTGGACACAACTCAGTTCTCTCCTAATCATCCTTAACCTGTTAACCGGGGAATTCCCTGGGAATTCCCTTTTTACTATATGCAACGTTTGACGTACAGTGATACCTCGGTTCTCAAACGCCTCGGTTTTTGACCAAATCAGGATTCGAGAAACTTTTGTCTCGGAATCCGAACAAATATTTG